GAGACTGGTATCCTTAAGGTTGTGGAAGCATTTTGGTGAATTCCTCCATTAACTCAATGAAACCCTTTCAGCCAGTCGGCAGGGAGCAACTAGTTATCACTAACCAAGACACATTTGAGGGGTGTGGGAAGTAAGTGAAGAACTGGGAGGACTGTTAGAGCTCATGCCAGAAGAGCAGGACCGACTCGATCTAGTGAAGGCTCTTGGTAGAAGGTCAACACCTTGACAAGCTCATCTGCCCCTTTGGTCCCTGGCCACTGGCTGTCTCACTCCTGGATCGAGGCAACCCCCTTGGCTATCCTTCCCCAGCACCATGGGATGTTCCCCTATGCATCCTATTCATCCGTGAAGAAATACTGTCGTCTCAAAATCAATTGGGTGGTGATTACGAGCCATTATCTGCCTGCTGTGCTGAAAAGGATATAAGGCAATCTGGAGAAAATCTTTCATGATGGGCTTAAAAAAAAAAAAGTCCAGTATATCTAGGAATGGTGTCCCTTCTAAGTTGAAAAATTAAAGTCAAAGCTACAGTCCTTCCATAATATTGGGTTGTTATGTTTACAAGCGTGTTGTATTTTTTAAAGCAAATGTCATAAGAATATGAAAGATTCATTCTTGATTTGAAGGGAGAAAAAAGCAAAGGGAGCTCTTTCAAGTGAAACAGATGGACTCAGATTCAAGGACAGAATGGATCTGTGATATTTTCTTGCTTTGCCCTGCAGAGGGGCCTATAGCTCTGCCTTCTATAGTCTCCCCAATATCAATCTCTAGGTTCTCTGTCCTTTCAACTCAGATTTAGAATTATGGGTGTAGAATATATATGGCACCTAAAATCCAGGCCCTGATTGAGGAAATTGAGACTTAGAAAGAAAATTTAATTTCCCAAAGTTGGCTGAACCAAGACTAAAAGTTCCGTTTCTTGATTCCCAGAACAGTGTTCTTTTCACTCCGCTGCCTTTTTATTCCTATGATTTTATTTTATTATTATTTTAATTTTTTGCTTTGGATAGTATGGATATTTATTTTTTTATTTTTGACTGAGCTTATTAGGGTGACATTGGTTAATAAAATTATATTGGTTTCAGGTGTACAACTGTCTAATACATCATCTGTATATTGTATTGTATATTCACCACCTCAAGTTGTCTCCTTCCATCACCATTTATCCCCCCTTTACCCTCGCCTACCTCCTCCAATCCTCCCTTTCCCTCTGGTAATCATCATACAGTCTGTTATTCCCCTTTAGTTTTTTGAAAATTACTTTCATTTATTATTTGTCCAAACTGATAGGGAGGAAGCTTTCCAATATCTTCCTTTAATAGTTATATAACACCTACTTCCAATTTCTGGTTATTATATTTATGAGAGACGGGGTATTGCAAAACATGGAGAAATTCTGATAATTAGGCACTACAAAGATAATCTATTCTACATACGAGCTAGAAATAGTTTATTTGAATAAATATCATGGGGTCTTGAATTGCTTAAATTTCATTTATAATGATCAATAATATCTAAAAAAATGAAGGTAATGTTATTAAGTAAAATATGAATAATATATTGGTCTAGGTACTTCCCTTGGATCTTAGGGAAATGGCATGGTGTAGCAGAAAGACCACTGTCTTGAAATTCAGAAAATTAAGGTGACAATTCTGATTTCACAATTTATCAACTATGTGATCTTGGGTAAATCATTTTAACTTCTCTAAGCTTAGTTTCATTATGAATGAAGTAGAAATAGAAATCTTGGTTATTTCAAATGGCTAGTGAAAGGATCAAATCAGGAGATTTGAAGATGGTGGCATAGGCAAATGCCTGTACTCGCTGCCTCCCACAACCACATCAAAATTACAACTAAAATACAGAACAACCATCATCCAGAACCTCCGGAAAGCTGGCTGAATGGAAGTCCTACAACTAGAGGTAAAGAAGAAAGCACACTGAGACTGGTAGGAGGTGTGGAGGCGCGAAACAGGCTGGTCTGGCACCCACATGTGCCGCTTTTTTAATCTGGAGCAGTGGTTCTCAACCTGTGGGTCGCGACCCCTTTGGCGGTCGAACGACCCTTTCACAGGGGTCGCCTAAGACCATCCTGCATATCAGATATTTACATGACGATTCATAACAGTAGCAACATTACAGTGATGAAGTAGCAACGAAAATAATTTTATGGTTGGGTCACAACATGAGGAACTGTATTTAAAGGGCCAGAACAGGGGTCCGCAAACTTTTTAAACAGGGGGCCAGTTCACTGTCCCTCAGACCGTTGGAGGGCCGGACTATAGTTTAAAAAAAAATTATGAAAAAATTCCTATGCACACTGCACATATCTTATTTTGAAGTAAAAAAACAAAACGGGAACAAATACAATATTTGTATTTGCATGTGGCCTGCAGGCCGTAGTTTGAGGACCCCTGGGCCAGAAGGTTGAGAACCACTGATGGAGGCTTCCCAGAGGAGCAAGGGGTCCCAGCCCCACACCAGACCCCCAGCCCAGGCTCCCAGAGCTGGGAAAAGAAGTCCCTACAGGCAGTAAGAACGATGAGCTGTAAAAACCAGTGCCAATTGGGGCTCAGTGACACAGAGGCTGCTGGAGACCCAACTATTCCTCTTAAAAGGCCAGCACCATGAACTGAACTTACAAGGCCCTGCTTCCTCTGAGCTCCAGCACCAGGGTCAGGCTCTGGGGAACACAGACACATATGAGGAAGAACTGGATCGTCTGGCATCAGGGCAGGAACTCAGGGGTGGCTTTCTCCCAGACAGAGATGCTCACAGGGATCATTGTTCCTATGCTGGGACCTCCCTGATTGCAGGGCTGACTGGCAGCCATTTCTGTTTGCTCTGCCCTGATGAATCCCTAAGACCCAGCCTCATCCAATTTACAACCCCATCCAAGCTGTGCACAGCAGCTTTTGCATATGAATGGCCTTTCCTTGCTCAGGGTAAAATCTCTCAAACAAGCTGCAGCTGGGTCAAGGAGCCCCAAACCTATCAATAAAAGGCCCAAGACCCGGCATCAGCATCAGAACCAGCCTGCCTTGCTTCATAGCTGGGCCTCATCTGGGCACTTCCAAACCTGATACAAAGAGGAGGAATCTAAAGATCTCTCTATCGCTCTTGCTGGGTGGCCCCAGGCAGTGGCTGACTCTGCACCTCTTTAAGAGACCCAAGTGCCAGTGTACCCAGTGGTCAGTGTCAGACCATACCAGATTAAAACTCTTCACATCCATAAGCAACACACTCCATGGGCAGACTCGTGAGCACCAAAGCCCCACTGAAGCAAGTCTTGCCCCATAAGGGTGTCTCCTGCACAGCAGCTCTCCCACTGTAGTCACAGCTGGTCCTCACAGCCAATTGGCCTGGAGGTTGATTCCTCCCAGTGACACCAACAGCAATCAAGTCTCAACTACAACAAGACTGTGCCCTCAGCCCACAAAGGGGTGCACCTAGAGCTCCCAGCTTAGGTGACTGGGGAGGCTGAGCCACTATACAAAGCCACTCTACCAACCCAAGGAGACACAGCAGCTCTACCCAATACACAGACACAAACACAGGGAAGCAGCCAAAATGCGGAGACAGAGAAACATGTCACAAATGAAAGAAATGGAAGAAAGCAAACTACTGGATATAGAGTTCAAAACCACAGTTATAAGGTTACTCAAGAATCTCCTAGAAACCTCCAAAAAAATGGAAAAGGACCAGTCAGAAATTAAGCATACACTGACTGAAATAAAGAATAATATACAGAGATTCAACAGTAGAGTAGAGGATTCTGAGAATCAAATCAACCATTTGAAATATGAGGAATTAAAAGATACCCAACCAGAAGAGCAAAAAGAAAAAAAAATCCAAACATATGAAGATAGTGTAAGAAGCCTCTGGGACAACTTTAAGTGTATCAACATTCGCATTATGGGGGTGCCAGAAGAAGAGAGAGCAAGTTGAAAACCTAAACATATTTGAAGAGATAATTACAGAAAACTTCCCCTACCTGGTGAAAGAAATAGACTTACAAGTCCAGGAAGCAGAGAACCCCAAACAAGAGGAATCTAAAGAGGATCACACCAAGACACATCATAATTAAAATGCCAAGAGCAAAAGACAAAGAGAGAATCTTAAAAGCAGCAAGAGAAAAACAGTTAGTTACCTTCAAGGGAATGCCCATACGACTGTCAGCTGATTTCTCAATAGAAACTATGCAGGCCAGAGGAAGTGGCAAGAAATATTCAAAGTGATGAATAGCAAGGACCTACAACCAAGATTACGCTACCCAACAAAACTATCATTTAGAATGGAAGGTCAGATAAAGAGCTTCACAGACAAGAAAAAGCTAAAGGAGTTCATCACCACCAAACCAGTATTATATGAAATATTGAAGGGTATTCTTTAAGAAGAGGAAGACGAAGAAAAAGATAAAAAATATGAACAAAATGGCAATAAATACATACCTATCAACAACTGAATCTCAAAATCAAAATAAACAAATAAGAAATCTAATGAATAGAATAAACTGGTGAATAAAATAGAATCAGAAGCATGGAAATGGAACAGACTGACCATTCTCAGAAGGAAGGGAGGTGAGGGGCGGAAAGAGATTAAACAAAGATCTTATAAGTATATATGCATTACCTATGGACACAGACAATAAGGTGGTGAAGGCCTGGGGCAGGGCTGGAACTGGGTGGACGGGGGCAATGGCAGGGAAAAAGAGGGACATCTGTAATACTCTCAACAATCAAGACTTTTTAAAAAAAAACCCAAAGGATCAAATCAAACACTGTTGAGAGATTGCTATAATTCAAAGATCAGAGGCTATATGTACCTTGATGGCCAGGGATCATGTGTGTTATATTTAACAGTGTATTCCCAGCACCTAACACAGAGTTTGGCATACAGTAAACAATAAACATGCATTACATAAATGAAGGCAATGATAGGGAAAATATTCTTATCACTATTTTTTGCTGAGCATATGTATAGGGGGGGATAAAACTTACTATAGAAGTGGAGCAGAAATGGGAGAGAAGGAAAGAATGATTGGTGTCCCTCCGTTCCTAGAAGAGAAGAAGAGGTTCTGAAGTAACACAAACAAACAAACAAAGGATAATCAAATTGACGAATTCCAAAAATCTACCCTTTTTCTTTCCCTGCCCCATTCATCCCACCTCTCAGTCCAGGATCCCACCATTGACTTTTTTTTTTTAAGATTGCCTTTGGACATTCATCTCATTAATTTCAATCATTGTCTGCCTTTACATTCAGTATGAGGTGTGTATATGCCCTCTCTCTGGGCATTCCAAACAGTGCTGCTTTTCATTTACATTGGATGTAAGTAGTTCAAAGTCCTCCCTCCTCCATTTCCTTTTCTCTCCTCTCAGTCTTCTCCCAAGGCTACTGTGGTCTTGGGGAAAGACAGCTGACGGCGGGGGCAGCTCCAGAAGAACATCAGCTCAGTTCTTGTTCTACTTCCAGCTCTGAATTGATTCAAGCTAGAAGTCCTATGGGAGAGGTGTCTGGTAGAAAATGCATCTCTTTCTGAATTGCCCTTCTTCAATTTTATAGAAGTACTCACCACACACATAGGAATTTCATAAAAATGTTTTCCTCTGCCGCAGAGGTCAGGGTTTTGCAGGCCTTTGGGGAGCAGATAACACACTCAAATGTCAGCTCAACTGAAGAACCATGTTACCCCACCAGAACGCCATGTTCCTGGTACTTGGCAGACTGGAAACACCCCAAACCACGTGCACTTCAGAGGATGCAGCCCGGTCACAAAATTAAGCCAGTTTAGTCTGGTCAGACACACTTTTTTAATCTTCTTCTAGATCAGTGGTTCTCAACCTTCTGGCCCTTTAAATACAGTTCCTCATGTTGTGACCCAACCATAAAATTATTTTCGTTGCTACTTCATAACTGTAATGTTGCTACTGTTATGAATCGTCATGTAAATATCTGATATGCAGGATGGTCTTAGGCGACCCCTGTGAAAGGGTCGTTCGACCGCCAAAGGGGTCTCGACCCACAGGTTGAGAACCCCTGTTCTAGAGTAAGGTCGGAATTAATTGATAGCCTCGCCCTCCCACCACTCACACCTGTTACAGCCAATTCAAACTGGTTTTAACTGGGTTCAGACAAAATTCACCTACTCTTGGCTTTTGCAAATATAACTGACAGGAACAAACAAAAACATATCTATTTGTTAAGAGCAATGCAAAAATCAGACTTTGGACCTCGCAGCTTGCAGAAGACTAATGAGATAATGTCTCAAATGTGTTGGAGCTGCATGTGTGAAAGGCTCTGTGGAGATGGGAAATAAGATAAATAATTCAAGAAACCCTTTGTGTCAGGAAATCTGTCTTCTGGAGGATTTAATAAGTTTTAAATAAATATTTTACAAACGTGTACCTGCTCATCTTATGTCAATGCCAGCCCCGTTAGGTTGAAAAGTACTATTATTCTCATTATAACAAATAAGGGTCTTGGTTTCTAATGAAAGAGTTTCCAAGGAAATTACAACAGGGACCATGGCTGTTAAGTAAAGCCTTCTTACTAAGCTAAAGCTTCCAACTTCAATTTCAGCTCTTGGTCAGTCCTACCAATTTGAAAGCTCAAGTCCTAGCCCTTTCCAACGTCCCACTCCATTCAAGCCAAGTGCATCCTTGTGGAATTCTCTTACTATCCTCCATTGAGAAAAACCATGAAGCACACCCACTCGGGGGTTCTTGTACCATCAGAATACAACAACTAATGCTGTTGTTCAACTCTTAAGAATGACCACACAATGGACTTCAACAATTTAAGAGCTCAATTCAATTACCTGCGAGCCTTAATCTGCCCCTTTATTCAAGTCCCTTCATTTAAAAGTACACAAAACCTTTTTTCTTCCCCTGACATCTTTTATTCCTATTATAAAGAAACTCATTTATTTTTACAAACTCTACAAAATAACAAATGAGACACAAAACTTAGCAAAGAATTTTCTGATGGGAACTTCAAAAACATTTGCTTTTCTCACATGCTTCTAAATACCAATAAATCTCGCATCTGTGTGTTTAAAACCAGTGCGGTTTCGCACGTCAGAACCTTACTTGAAAACATCCATTACCTTGTTTAACTCACCCAATCTTAAACTTTTCCTAGAATCACCACGTCCCAAAATTTCTATCAGAAAAATCGAAGAGTTTCAGAGCGGGGAAGAACTTAAATAGGTGATTTGATTTAGCCCTTGCTTAGAGCCAGGTGAATTTAATTTAGAAGTATTCAAAATGAGGACCTCTGGCCATGCTTAGCCTTTTGGGATACACACAGAGTGAAAAGGTAACTCCTTCACCTCAACGGAGTTTGCAGTCCACTGAGGTGTTTCTCAAAGGGCATGGGTATCGCACGAAGGAGGAGGTCTGACTGTAAAAATGAACATTTCCAGGCTCCACCTCAGACTTACTGATTCAGGGGCAGGACCCAGAAGTCTGCATTTTTAAAAGTACCCCACGTAATTCTTATGAACAGTGACATTTGAGAACCACTAATTCAGTAAGTCTGAGAGGTGTGCACAAAAGACTATCAGTCAGAGAAGTGCTGAATATGGGTAAAATAGGGGGCCTTCTAGTGACAGAAAACAAATCTTTGATCATCATCTGCCCTCATTAATGCCAGATATTTATCACAAAACACAAAGTCATATACTAGTCTTACCCAGACATTCTAAATTACATTCACCATTAAGTTAGATTGTGAACTATCAATTTCATAATAGAAACCCTTCGTGCAGAAAACTAAAATCTCCAGTGATCTACCATTCTCCCTAAAATGTCTAATTCACTTGACATTTAGTTTGATTTCATTTGGCTCATGAACCACACATGTTAGCCTATTTTCTTCCCATGACGGTAGTGTTCATAAGGGGTGGTGATTTGCATAATTTTTTCCTTTGGCAGAAATACAAAACACACACACACACACACACACACACACACACACACACCAATTAACTTTTTTTTAAAAAAAAAAGTTGAATTGAGAAGCATGTGAGATATTGGATTTTAAGAAAGTTAGCTCCGAGCAAAAGTAGTTCACACATACAGATTCTGTTTAAGCCGCTCCCCCCATGTTGTACACAGAAAAATCACCTGGGGAATGGCTAGTAATGCAGATTGCAGAAGAGTCTGACTTGGTAAGACAGGTGACAACCTTTAACAAACACACCGATCCTCACGTGAATGGTTTTGAGAGAACATTCCAGGGATTTCAAGATTTCTCGAATCCAAGCTCATATCTGAACCTCTCTTTGAGTTTAAATCAATATATTAAACACCACAAATTGTCAATACACACATATTTAATTAAAGTAATAACAAAAGGGAACAAATAAGGAAAGTCAGCTCATCTCCTGACAGCCCACATTCTGTAAGTCAGAGCTGGAGGATCTTGCTTATGTCATAAATTACTTCCTCCTGAATTAAGAGCCACCTGCACTAAAAAAAAAGGCAACCTAATGTAGGCTTTTGCCATTGTTCCTTTTAGAGAGCACATAAAATATTCTAATTCCCTTTTAAAAATAAAAAATGTGTTGAACAATGTGTGTGGGGGGCAAGGAGGAATGTTGACTGAGGGTGGAGTAAATGAGCCTTATTCTCTGGCCAACAGCAATGATCAGAGAAACACAATTCTGAAGATCATATAAAATAAAACCAAATGAATTCGATCATTCCTGATGTTAGGATTGTCATTTCCCTATCCCTCCAGGAATTAATTGTGGGCAGATATCGGGGTATTATCTAATGACTAATAACTCACAGAAAACCGGGATGTTCTCATCCTCACTTCCTTTGGGGGGACCAGGATACAATCGGGTTCTAGGATTGGGAATTTTCTGTGAGTCTAGGAGGCATGCTCTATGTATTTATGTAACACGCTATTTTTCAAATAGTCCACAAACCTGTAAAAGGAGCCCTGGCTTATGACTTAATAATGACCACGTGATGTCGCATAAGCTCTTCAACCCTCCCCCCAGAGGCTCAGTTTTTTCAGCTGTAAAATAGGTACTCGGGGTCAATCTGGATTCATGGTCTAACTTCTTCCCACTCAGCCAGGATGCTCCCCACACCACAGGACCGAACCGAGGTGTATTGGAGAGGATCACATGAGATCATTTTTATAAAAGTGCTCTGCAAGCTGTAAAGCACTGGACGGACAAAGAGGATTGTTATCAGTCTTCTATGCAGCCCAGCGATAAAGATGCAAAGTGACCCAGAAAAAGACAGCAGGGTAGACAAACCTGAAATACAACGTCTAGAAGAGCCTAGAACATTACTCCGTACCCAGTAGGCAGGTGGGTGCTTTTTAAGGACCGAGTGAATAAAGAGAAACACACACACACACAAAATAGGTTTTTGTCTCTACCAGACCAGGTATGATACCAAGAAAGAATACCTAAAATCAAGGATCGTTTGATTCAACCAAACAAGCCACAATGCCCCTAGAGCTTAGATCTTAAGAATTACTTGATACGAAAGAGCATTAAAATATAAAATATAACCCACCACCTGCCAAGAAATGGATATAGTCTTACCTTTTCAGGCTTTCCAATGTAGTCTTGTAGGGATAGAAGAGTCTTGGTGAGGTTGCTGAATTTTTTTCCCTGTTATCTGATAGATCTGCATAACCATCCTAGCAAACTTAGGAGGAAATAAATCCTATTGGATGTTGGGTACCTTAGCTTTGTTTCTGATCTGGAAACTGACTTCCAGTGACACCCTAATTTTAAGCAAACCAGATTTTATCCCCTAAGCTCCCCTCTAAACATACACACAAAAGAAAACTGGCCTGCAGGTAGGGGGTGGGGGGTGGGAGGAGAGATGGGGAAGAAGTTATTTACTTTCTAAAACAACTCTTTCTGAGCCCTTTGTCAGATTCCTAGAAAAGTAGAATGTGGCTCAAATTTAGATATTCAAATTGCATTACATACCACTTTTGACATAGCTATTTGCGTAGAATGCGGCAAACCCATACTGGGAAATAACAAATTTAAAAATTCAGGGGGGAAAAAAATGTTTTCTTCTGGGGCCTGAACT